TGTTAGAAGATATCCTACCAGAGAGAGGAAGCCCCCAGCCCGACTGGACCTTTGAACATTGAACTGCCCATTTCTAGGGCTCTGACTTTATTTTTAAGAGTAGCATGTTGTGGTGAACTTTTGGGGTATGAGACTGGCTTAAGAGGGAGGAGTTGTAGTGTATTGAGCCAGCGGTTGACATTATGAGCATGCGCACTTATGCGCATTCTGTTCCATGTGCTTCGATTGCAAAAACCAAATACATGACAGTTTTACTTTCAAAATTTGTTACAGAAACGATTGATTGGTCACTGGACCTCGTGTCGTAAAATTCAGGGAGTAATCGTAACAATTATAATTTCCTCATTTGTGATTGGTGCACAAACTGCTGTATTTTGCTCTAATTAATCTGCAAAGTAATCGGACAGTGTAATCGGACAGTTGGCTGTAACCGGACACCTGTAATCGGACAGTTACATGAGCCAATCATTTTAAGTCCTCTCTACTAAATCCACCAATCAAAACATTGATTACAATCACTATAGTAACCAATTCAAGAGACTGACTTTGTAAAATTGTGGAGGTGACTGCTCCGGTGACTGTTCTGAAAGAGACTTAAAAGCCATTTAGCAAGCTAATCTCCATAGTTTTAATCATGACATTTAAAAATGACTATTAAAAGCTCTTTTTCAAATGAAACTTTTACATTTGTGCGAAACTGTAATGGTTATGACTAATTGGTAACAGGACATCGTGTCGTCCAATCCAGTCTGTAATCATACTCGTGATTAACAAATCAAACTCCCGCTTCGCGGTCATCCGATTTTGTTAATCACTCGCATGATTACAGACCGAATTGGACTCCCCTCAGTCCTATTGCCATTATTTATCTTATCGTATTTCACTGTCGTGAAATTTCAAATATCAAATGTGTCTCACTTTCCACGTTGCTTGTCAAAACGAGTTCAAAACAATACAAATATCACAAATAATCAAAAGTTACATACTTTCCTCGTACGCCGTTGAGATAGTCCCTAAGGCCGTTACCAGCGTTATTATCCCCATGAGTATCAAATGATTTAACATCAAGCACGGAACCTACATAAAATAAAAGTATCCTCCTGGTTCGTGTCTTATCTGGACATTTTAAGCAATGTAAATGTACATGCAGTCAACACTCGCTCTCTAAGACAGACACCATCGGGACCCGCCCAACTGTCCGTCTTAGAGAGGTGTCCGGTTTATAGAAAGTCGAACTCGAGGCAACGTGTCCTTCTTAAGTCAACGCCTAAATGGATCGCTTTTGAAATTCTCCATGTGGTCTTTCTCGACCTTCGAGTGCTTGTCAGGTGAAAAGCAGCTTTTCTATTACCCTTGGGGTAATACATGTAGATCTCGTGTCCAAGGTGAGCCGTGCAATTATGTTTTCCTTAATTAACTGGCCTCTTGCTGAACTCTCAAGTAAGGCATGCATTACCTGTTCCAGCATCCACGATGACAACGTTATGTCCTCTACGGCGAAGTGAGCGCTCTGTGCCATCTACATTAATGTAAGCAATGCCGCATGTGTTGGGTGCCTTTCCTGGATCCTCGCAGCCTTCACTTCGAACGTGAACATCAACGTACGGATCTGAAACATAGAGCAATTTAAATGAATTTCAAGAAATGACTTACAAAAATTCTCAAACTCATTAATAATTCATCAAGTTTATCGTGAGCATGACGGTGTTTGGATATCTGGTCTTAATAGTATGCATTTTTGCGGTTTTATCTTTATGTTTTCTCCTTAGTTTAAGTTTCGATTGCGAAGATATATCAAACACTCAAGACAGTGTTTGACCAGATTTCCAAACACTTCGACGTTCGTCAAAAATACTCCGCTGGGCGTCGTATTTGCAACTCTCTTCTCGGTGTTTGAAATGTGGTCAAACACGGTCTTTCATGTTTGATAAATCACTTCATACACACACTTGATTCAACGTTTTTGCTTTACTAGAATAATCTTGTTTATTATTATTACGTACGTGGTGTAAACGGAACTTTGAAAGATATCACGCTGGGTCCCTGGCCACTGTTTGCTTGTTGCTGAGCAACCCATGATGGCTTTTTAACTCGTGCGTACCCACAAAAAGCGAATGATCCTCGGAAGTCTGTTAAGATGGGATCAGTAGCCCCTAGTCTCTTGAGAGCATCAAATGCTGCTGACACGTATCTTGAACCTTCATCTTGAACGGCGACACAAGCGATTTTACTGCGGTGAGGACGAAAATTGCACGTGTGAGTGTGAGTGAGTGAGAACTTTATTAAAGTGTCAAAAAACCTTATAGCCTGGGAATAAAAACACCATACTAATTAGGGGACACTGCTAAAAAACNGAATTTGGGTCCTACATAACGCAAAGAGTGCTTCCCATAAGTAACAGTGTTGTATCTAGGAGTAGAAAAATCTGATTGTCTCAGGTTGTATGCAGAAATGTGCTCGTTAAGAACGTTACAGATGCTATTAGGACATAGTCTATGTTTAACTTTATACATGAGAATACAGATTTCTAGAGTTGGCATACGTATAAAGACATAAAAATGTTCAAGAACGAGAAAAAACTAGCGCTAAAAACTGAGGATGTAAATGAAAATAATAAACATAAAAACTATAAAGAAAATTAAATCGCCAAAAAGGAACAGCAAACCAGTTAATGAATCACCATTCGTGAAAATGCGGCTGATAATGTTGGCTCATTAATGTACAAGAGAGAGAGGAAGACTACAAGATATCCCTCTTTTCACGTAGTAGGTCGACCCAGAAGCGATAAAAAAAGCCCTCAAGTGTGCATGCCTAATTTTCTTCGCTTTTGAATTTCGCTAAGGAAAACTAAGAGAGACTGATGGTACTCAATAGAAGGACGTCCATTAAAGGAATGGGGGCTTTCATAGTGGCGCGTTGGGCCGACTACGGGCCTGCACAAACAAAGCAGAAAGCCATGTAATAGACAACGTATTAACCTCGAACGTTCGGTCCTTACAGGAAAATCTCAAACCTCGTCCTTGCCGCATTGACCTCGCTATCACCCGTTTAATACAGCAAGGTCATGGTTTTAGATTTTCCCACATAAAGACCTCACTTTCGGTTAATAAGTTGTTAGTCATTTGAAGTACATTACTTCAGACTACGATATTTTGCACTTTCATGGCAACTATGTTTAGCTAGGATGGAATACCCAAACTGTAGATAACCCAAATTTATTCTGGGATTCGAGTAATAGCTAAATAAAACGTTCAATTAACAGGAAACAAAACACTTACTCTCCATGTATTCCGTTAAGATAGTCTCTCAGGCGGTTACCAGCTCCACTATCCCCGTGAGTATCAAAAGACGCTGTCCCAGTCACAGCCCCTTAGAAGGAAATGCACAAAACGTTACATGCATTATTTTCTTGAAGTGCTCATGTCTGATGGTAGTCGCTGTCTTGGCAGTTGTCCCTATCGCTGAAGCGGATGTTGTTGTTGTTGTTGTTGTTGTTAATATTGTTTTTTATTGTCGTCGTTACTCCCTCTGTAACTATTGCTGCTTTACTTTGGGTGCAAGGGATTTTTCTACACTGCGACGAGTTTACTGAGCGACAAACGAACGGGAGAAAAGCAGCTCGTTGAAAAACAAAAACCTTTGCACTGGTCGGCAATACTATGTACCAATTAAGCTAATGATTCTTAAGGCACCTCCCAAAGACCAACCTCTAACCTCCTCCCTCGTTGGAGGTGGGCAACAGCAGAGTAGGGGACTGCCTGTCAAGGTGAAGTACAGTGGGACTTAGGGCCCGGGGCCGCTACGGTAGCTGCAAAGGCCTGGCGGGAACTCTGAACAAACTGGCTAATAGGGGCTCTGTCAAGTCTGCAGAGGGCTAGTCACTCCCTCAAACTAATGAGCGACTACAGAAACCGACAAAGGAAATTTACACTGCAAGACGACTGGTCGCCAGAAAGAGGACCACTCTGGGATGGTAGTATGACGCTCCGTCAGCCGAAACCCCCCTCTTTTCTGGGACCTAAATTCATAACCAACATTGGCTGCTGGAACGTCAGAACGATGTTCGAATGTGGAAGGGTGAAGTACAGTGGGACTCAGAGCCCGGGGCCGCTACGGTAGCTGTGAAGGCCTGGCGGAAACTCTGAACAAACTGGCTAATAGGGGCTCTGGAAGGTCTGCATGTTCGAATGTGAAAGCTGCACAAGTGGCCAAGGAAATGAACCCGGAGGAAATGGACTTGGATTGGACACATACTGAGGAAAGACCCCAGCGACATTGCTAAAGAAGGTCTATTCTGGACACCAAGGGAAAAAGACAACGGGGAAGGCCTAGAACAACCTGGAGGAGGTCAACGGAGAAAGAACTGGAGACCTTACACTTGACCTGGGGTGAAATCCGTAAGGTGGCACGAGATCGTTCGCGCTGGAGAGAGACTGTGAAGGCCTTATGCGTCCGATGGCGCGATGAGGACTGATGATGATGAATTCTAAAGGCAAAGCGAAAACCACTGAGGCACTTCGTGTCATCCCTCACTAAGAGGCTGTGTCCAAAACGGTTGAAATGTCTCTATGGAAAAGCTTACGTCTAGCGGGCAACATTTTCTGCAGTTCTACATCACGGGAGAGGTGAGGTAGTGCTCCTTTAAATTGTGCTAATAGAGTAACAAGAAAACATATTGACTGCGCTTGATTGCTGCATTACCTGTTGTAGCGTCCACAACAACAACGTTATGACCCCTGACATGCGGAGAGTGATCACGTCCATTCACCTTGATGTAAGCGATACCACATGTGTTGGGTGCTTTGCCTGGATCATTACAACCTTCGCTTCGGACGTGGATATCCAAGAAGCCAGCTACAAGGAAACGCAAGTAAACAGAAGGAGACAGGAAAACGAAATATCATTAACCTAAAATCGCTTTGGTTTCTCCTCAAGTCTTTGTTGCTTTCCCATTTTAGGTTCGCGTGGAGTGGGGTGCTAAGAGCTGGCTTTCGTATACGCATCTTCTTTGTATAAAACCGAATATACTCAAGTGAATAGTTAAGTAGTAGTATTTCAACCCCCCCCCNCCCCAAAAAAAAAAATGTCTGACGCGAAGTAGCCGGACTGTCAATCTTCCACATCTGTATCGAGCACGTAGTTCTTTGTTTGAGTAATCATCGATTAAGAGGGAATTTGTTTACGTCTTTCACCCTTTTTGCCTTCGCTGTACACTCGCAAACAACTTTGCCACTTGCTTCAGTTTTTATTTACCCAGGAGGTTAGTGGATTATCACAAGATGGGTTCAACTTAATCCGCTGTTTAACCCGTGAACCACTGTATCCATCTTTGGATCATGTGTCTCCAAGGTAACTAGCAGTACCAGTGTTTTCCGTGTGTTGAAAATGTATTCCAGGAAAACAGCTTACTTAAACAAAATTTTTCGTAATTCAGGTGTACAAATAAGAGCGAGTAATTGTTGGATAAAAACTATAGACTAGAGTATCCCAGGAAAGTAGTTTATTCGTTCGATGCTGGAGTTTAGAACAGCCACTCGTAAACTGTCAGGCACCTCTCATCCCTAGCTTTGAAACAGATCAACGTTACTTAAGCTGATGACAACGCAATCGGCTCACAACAAATATGCTTTGCCCAAACAAATATCCATTATTTCAAATGTGTGTTTACCYGTATCCAAACTATCATTCATATTATGGTTTGAATCCAAGAGTATCAGTGGTTCATCTAGTGTGATTGTCTGAGGTTGTCGAAACGTTTGTCACTAACAACAATTCATTTAGAAACTATCCTCAGCCAGAAGATCGCAGTAGGAGAACGATGATAATACAGTTCTCTTTATTTCCATTTTAGGGTTAGGATTGATCATATTTGTATCAACCATAAATATTATCAGTAGGCTTATATTTATTTATTTATTTATTTATTTATTTAATTTTTTACCTGGAGCTACTGATCTACGTTTTCGCATTCGTGCTATAAGATCTGCAATGAATAAAACATCCCAACTGAATTAATAAATTAATTCCAGAACTTTACGCTTGAAAACTTCAAAATGTAGAGTAGCATGGTGTGAACGTAATCAATACAAGAGATAAGGCTCTCAAAGCTTGTTTCGTATTTATATCCATTCTTGTGATCGTTTTCTCAAATGTCAATTTTTCTTCCCTCTATATCATTTCTTTTGTTGTAAACCTTCAGTGTAAAAAATCTTCTCAAAGTCATGTACCTAAACTGAATCAAAAGATGCCAGATACACGTATAAGGATAAATAAGGAATTCCTTGATTAAACGCCACTGCAAAGAATGTATAGGTAATAACAAGGATTGCAATTAAGGATTTACACCACGAGAAACATTTGAAAATTCTCTCAAAAATGCACAAGCTTTTAGGCGAGTGTATTTTAAAAGAATTTTAAATATGCCAAAGAAAATTAGCAAATGAGATGCAACACAAAACGGACAATTTTCATTGTGACTTTTAGTGTTTTTGTTTTTGTTGTTGTTCTTATTTATTTTAAATAGAGCTGATATCAGTAAAACCATTTGGAAAACATTTGGCAATAGTAAAATGATTGATTTTACAAACGCAGATACGAACTGAGATAAATGAACAGCGAAAAGAAGACTGCATTTTATATATTTTACACTGGAATTCAATAGTGTGAAATAAATTCCGTATCAACATTGATTTTACAAGTATGTACCTTGCCATATTCGACCAGCACTGCACACATCCGCCATCAACAAACTCATCAAACAGAACAGAGAAAACTTCATTGTTGAAATCCTGCCAGCGGCCTCAACCTGTATATTAAACTTATAAAATAAAGTCGCGTCAAGTTTTTTTGTCAAATACTTATTTTTATTGTATTCTATCATTAGAGGCATTTTTTTCTTCCCTTTATTTGGTCAAGAGCCAACTAAGTGACCTGCAAATAATGGTCTGCTCATGGACAGTACGTCTAAATGTGTTTTGCTGCAAATAATATTCTGCTCATGCTCATGCGATGCATGATGTGGCGTGTGAATTTGCGTGCGTAGTAAGGTTGCGCAGAAACAATTAGCGCGAACGTCCTTAAATCCGAGTTGGAAATACATTTGTCAGAAAAAGTGAGACGAAAAGAATACTTTTAATAAGAAAATAGAGTGGTTTTCAATTGAGTATGGAAAGTAAGCAAGCAGTTACTTTGGCTTTGGTTTTACTATGCATTGAGATTGCCTGAGTAGTGTAATTGGTAGAGCGATTTTCAATTGAGTGTCGTTAAACCAAAACCAAACCAATTACTTGCCAATTAGACTACTCAGCCAATCTCAAACCGTAGTAAAACTAAAACAAAAGTAATTGTCTGATTACTTTCGACACTCAATTGAAAACCGCTCTAAGTAACTCACTCGGATTTGGTTTTGGTTTCCCGGCACTCAATTGAAAGCCGCTTTATATGGCACTTGGTTTACAAAAACTGGCCTTATAAAAGTGGATATTCAACAGAAAAATGGACGGCTTGCTGTTCTATAACGAATTAGCACTTGCCAGTTGATTTAACTAGAGCTAGATGAATAATAAGTACTAAGAGCTGATACATCGATGTAAAATGACGTGACTGAAACGTAGTGATATGAATACGAGTTCCAATTCAAAAGAGAAGTCACGATATTTTGAGGTTTTTTTGTCTGAAAACAAAACTGCCTTTAAATTAAAGGAAACCTGACAATAATAGTTTACTAAAGATAGAAAAACATGTAGAGATAATAATAAACCATAGAGAAACAAGTATGGTTAAGAATGGAGAAGATTGACACGGATTACAAACGACGAACTTGAGCAATTTAGACTAAACTTTTCAAGATTCGCAAACCGTGACGTACAGTGGTTCCTTTAAGTATTACCAAATAGAAAACGTTCAATCTTAGCCCTGTTTACTAGTTAGTTCCCTTTACAAGGGTTTTGACTACATGCCTCATATTCCCTTAGTCGAGTTTTGAGTACAGAAAGGTGGTCTACTGTTCATTTTGAATGAGAAATATTAGCAAGCAAAAAAAGAGTCCTATTTAATGGCTTGTGCCATTTACAATAAAAAAGGGTGTTTGACAACTCGAGTCGAGTTCAAAGCACAGAAAGATGACTTTTTTGTCAATTTTAGATAACTATGATTAGCAAGAAGGAAAGAGTGCACTAACATACCCTCTAAAACACCTGGTGATGAACAGTTCCCCACCGAGTTGAGACTACAGCTGAGAGTTCTTTTCTGCATAAGAGACGATGACAACGGCTTCCTCTTACCTCAGCGGATCAAGGTGGTAATTCTTGTGTAAACAGCGCCTGGGAAAATCCCTGTTGAACAGCTGAGAGAGTTTGCATTTTCAATACATTATTTATCGTTTTGTTTTGACATTAAAGAGCGTAATTAATAAGATCATCTCGTAGGAACAACTGATATACAATTTTAAGTATCGCCTTCTTAGTAATAAGCGAATGTTGTCAATTTCTTATTCTCTTTACGTCGTTTTCTTTCAAGAAGACGTATCCAGTTTACTAAGAAATAAATATTGCATGGTAAAATTACGTACACGTGATTGAAATGACAAATAAAACCGCTAAATATTAATATCATGTGTACATGTATAAACACTTTGCATTGCATTTGAAATAAGCTAACAAGCAATAGGAGATTTTCCATTAAATGGCACTGTGCAGGATATGAAAAAAGAGTGAACGAAAGTGTACTTCAGTTACATATTCACAAGTGCATTATTTTAATTAATTCCTTTAGTGTTTAACTCTGTTAGGCTACTGTCACGAAACTTTACGTGTGAGTAGGAAGAAATGCTATTAATTTGGCAAAAGTTATGCGATTTGACATAGTCAAGCAGCTGAGGAAATATCTATTAAGACTAATTTGCGCTTAGACGTAGTTAAGTAAGCGTGGACGTTGATTTAAGTCAACACAGTCATTGATTGCTTCTCACGTAGTTACATTCTTCACTCTAATGTCAAACTATTTTCCGCCGTTTTCTTTTCTTTTTTTTTCCGTAAAATAAATTCCATTATTTCTTCCCCTTGATTGCTGTCTTAGGCGTGCATTGGGGTATGTAAATGATTCTTAACGTGATGATAAATTCCTGTCAACGTGAGATCAACATTTATTTACTTATTGACACAGCTGTTTAAACTTAGGAGTTTAAGGTAATTCTTATTTTTTAACACGAAGAAAAGTCTTAAAATGCATTTTAGATTCGAAAATGATAGTTACATGAATACTTGGGGGCTTTTTAGAAAAAAAAATAGTTTACAGAAAAGAGCAAAAAAAAAAAGCAATCTGAAGATCGGTGGATGTGTTCATGTGGCCTGGTGTTTCCATTTATTGATCGCTATTCCTTTTGATATAGTTCCATCTTAGGTTGACGTTCCGCTTAACTGTGTTTCAGTTTGGGCCTTTGACAACACACAAAACACAATAAAGTTTTCAATTGCGTCCTAGCCATCAACCAATGCAAACGTCGCGAAACGTAATTCAGTCAAGATTGTGAGCGCAGGACAAGAGATTGCGCGCGGTCGTAGACTGACCTTTCCATACACATCTTGGGATCCTTCTTTGTTCATTTGAATTGTGCTACGCTTGATTACCATAGAAGGAAAACTTGTGACGTATGCCAATTACACATTTACTGACAGATAATTCACCACCTGGATTGCAAAACAAGACAATTTTAAGAGAAATATACGCTCTTATATCAAAGATCAGAGAGATACGTTTGAAATAAACATACTACTGCTGAATCAAAAACATTTCTACCAACCTTGCAAAGTGTAACCATGATTTGCCCAAGGACCTCGCTCCTTCACCTTTTTCTTTGCAATCACCACTCTTGCAATATATGTTTTTTGCCTGCTGTAAAGCTAGCTGCAGTGCACGTTACAAAAGCGCACTTTGCAGTCGAATGCTTAAGGTTCCTTTTAAGTCCATCGCAAATTGCATATTTTCCTTCAGTTGCATGTGGAATTGTTCCATTTTAGGAGTCTCTGTAGCATTCCACACTTTTACAGTCTATTTAAAGTAAACAGATCGTAGGATTACTTATAACATAGAGTAAGAGATTATCAGATGTCAGAGCTGAGTTAGAAATTTCTGCACATTAACGTATTTGCTCCTGAGGGGAATACCACAAATTGGTAGAATGGTACCTAAAGACTCAAACGCCACTTAACAATTATATCAATTGCAAAGTATTGTTAATCGAATACCATAAATTGTGCTAACAGACATCGAGACTGTCATAGCTTAAATTGAAAAGCATTCAGACCAAAACAATAACTATGTTCAAAAAGATCATACTCCTCTTTTAGTTGGGTATACTCTTAAACTATTTAACAGTTTAATTTCCAGCTCTTGATGTTTGGGTTATTGCAAGATATAAACTTTACCTTAAAAGTGTAAAACGAAAAGTTAAAAGGTATAAAGTCTCATATAGTAGGAAGTATGATTTTATTCTATCAAAAAGACAGATCTGTCCAAGACCTTTTTGCTGTCCAAACTGGATACAAGTTGAAATATTGACTATTTGTAATAGCATTTTTGGGCCACAATAGACCTCTTTAGCTTCGCGGTCACGTGGTCTACATTGGGTAAACAAAACATTCAAGATGGCGGGCGCTAATGAACTTTCTGTTGTAGCGTGGACAAAATCGTTGCGAAATCTCGCTAAAGTGTCCGCGATTACAATAGTAAATCATCTAAAAGGATGTGGAAAAAAAGAAATTGGAGAA